TTTAGTTGCATTTGGGTAGTTACAACGTCCTTGTAGGATTTGATTCTGAATACAATTCCAAATGTACACTATAGTCCCTAAACCCCTTTACAGCATTGGGGGTTGAATAATTTTGGCCACAACTGTATATAAAATGAATGGGCTAAAATTGCGATCCACATGCAGTTCTGTGCAATGCAGAGGAACACACAACACGTTCCTCTATGATTCACATGCAGTTCCTAGTGTGAATGCACCCTTATGCTGTGAAAATTATATCTTTGAATACTCGAGGTTTAAATTCACCTCAAACTGTTGCTTGGCATTCTGCGGTGGTTCATGTATAAACCACACATTGGGATGATTTACAAAATCTGGGGCGTTTGTGCAGGGTAACCACTCAGCTCCTTCAATTAAGCTATGACAATAAAACGTAGAAGCTGATTGGTTACTATGCACAGCTACAACAGATTCTGTTTGCACTAGTTTTAGTAAATCTCACCCTTTATATGCATATCTCCTACTCCAGAGGGGTCTGTATCTTCTTGGCAAAATCCCTGGCTGCTGAGGTTCTTCATGTAAATACTGATCCCGATGGGAGATTATACTTTCCATGTAAAGTGCCAACACTACATTGACTCTAGTGAATATATATTTGCCAAGGACCATTTGTGTGGAGTTGGTAGATTACAGTCTGCATTTGTTGACTGGATACAAACTTACCGCTGTTTGAAGGTGGAAGCATCCAGATGCTCAATTCTTTTGTGATTCTGACACCTAGAAATACCATGTCCAGAATTAATTTGGCCTTTATTACATCCTTGATACTTCCATTAGTTAGCTAATGTCACATTCCTGCCCAGTGGCATATTAGATCACACTCCCATTATCTTAGTTCTTCTACTCCTTCCACTACAGGCACAAGTCCATGGCTAGACAACCCCAATATTCTAGGAGAGTGTGCCAAAGATATAGCTGAAATTCTGAGTAATAATTTGGATATTGCATCCCCTCTTTTGGAATGGGATGCCTTCATTTCCATTACATGCATAATGTGGAAAAAAAAAAAAGTCTCAAATGCGCACTATAGGAGATAGAATCGGTTATGCAATGTCCCCCTCTCCTGATACCCATACCGATTGGCTCCATAAGTGCAAAACCTATGAACTCTGCCTTTTAGATTTTAAGAAGAGACCATTATATACAACTTAAAAACTATTTGAATGCAGTAACAAAGCTAGTTGTCTCCTAGCGTATCTGGCGAGGCCGCCCCCCCCCCCCCCCCCCCACGTATACACCTCGAAAATTAACCCTTTCAGGTCACGTGGGTACATCCCATCACTAGATTCTGGATGCCTTCTTGTCCTTTTACACCTCATTGTATACCTACCTCTACTGTGCATTATGTTGATATCCGCTAGGCATGTGGTTAGCTGAGTATCTATATCTCTTTGCACTTTGTCTCCTCGAATGAGGAAGGAGCTGGAAGATCCCATCACTGCTAAAAGATTGCACTGGCCTTTTTTTTTGGCAGTTTACTACCTCTTTAATTCACAGCGATGCATAGTGGATTTTAAGACTGGATCTGCAGATCTGGATTTAGGATCAGGGATATATATTGCAGGAGGAAGGGTTTTCACTCATTTTTGATTTTGGGGTTTGATTTATCAATAAGAAGTCTTGTCTTAGCATGGAATAGGAAATAAATGTCTGCACCATTTGTATAAAGCCCACAAATTTGACATTCCAATAAATGCAGAAGGAATTTAATCTTTCCACTAACTATTAATTCTATTATTACCAAATTCTGTACCCTTTTGAATCCAATGCAAATAGACCCTTTTGAAAAACTACTGCAAAAGCCCGATACCCCAAAATTGATTTCTTTATATTATTCCACGCTTCCTAGCTCTAAACCCAGATACTTGAAAGCCCAACGTAAATGGTCTTTGCCTGACCTTCAGCTAACTATATACACTTGGACCCAGCTTGAAAGGTCCTATAAAAATTCAGTCATTTCCTCTAGAGACATGATTATTCAGTTGAAATGGTTTCATCATAGCCACTTTACCCCTGCCAGATTGCATAAAATGGGCCTATGTCCTACTGCTGATCATTTAAAAGGTTGTCCATGGACCATTGCTCTAAGTCCTGTCCTTTTTCTCTATGTTTTCTGGTCAAAAGGTAAATGTTTCTACATCCTTCACTATGGGACTCCCCAATATTGGTTATTTTGGGTGATCTGCAGGTCTGCTGCTCTTGTGCACGACTGGATCGGGATCCGGCTCAGGCAAGTATTGGGTAGGGGGGGGGGGGGGGGGGAAGCTGCATGCATAAGGTTTTTTACCTTAACGGATAAAATAAAAGGTTAAAAAAAAAAAAACCTTCTGCCTTTAGAAACTTTAGTAGTTTTGGGTTTTTTTTTATATTTTAAACTGTTACCTACCAGAAAATAAAGAAAAAAAACGCCACAACCCCCCCCCCCAAAAAAAAACAACAAACTTTTTTGTCATAAGATTTGAAATTTATTTACATGTTTAAATATGTTCATACACCTCAATTTACACAGGTAGGAATATGTGTTACATTCCAGATCTGAGAGGACAATAAGCAGTTTTTTTTCATTGCACTGATTGCACTGTACAAAAGGCTCACATCTGAACACTGCTTTGCCGTAAAATATATGAAATTCAGAATAAACCTAAAATTCAACCTTTATGCTTAAAGTAATAAAAATTCTCAAACACTGTCAGTTCTTTACATGGCCTTCATTTGTATGACAGATGGCTAAAATTATGCAATGTGTTGTGTAGAGATATTCTTTACCAGCTTCTTACTCAAGTCTTAAGCTGGCCATACATGGATCAAAATTCAGCTGGCTCAGAAGGGACTGGCTGAATTGCGATCCATGTTCAGGCTAGCTAGCTGTACATAAGTCGATCCATTGATTGTGTACAACCAGCATGTCTGGTTTTTCCCCCGAACGATCAGTGCAGCTGGCTATAGCCAGCAACACTGATAATTTTATTCTGCTGCTGGGGAAGGCTCCCTGCTTGAAGAATAGCTCAGTGGGAGTAATTCCTCCCTCTACACTGAATGCATGGATGGGGGAAAATCAGCTCTTCTTTTCTTCAACCTGCTGAATGGAAAGCAAAAAAAAAGAAAAAGAAAAAGATATAGGATCTACCTTAGTGGACTTAAGTATGCTTAGTAAAAGTAAAAAAATCTGGAGAGATCATAAGCAAAAGTTGCATAATTGTACTCCAGGCCTTGCTGAAACAAATCAGTGAAGCAAATCTGACCTATGCCTAAGGGAACAATGATAGGTGCAGTAAATGGTCTGCATTAGTCATTAAAACGAATCCCTCATGGCTCCAGTGACCACACACAGGGCCTAAAACTTCCCTCTAAAACAGAGATTTGACCCCACTCTCTGGCACTCTTTTTTAATTGTCAAATCCCAGCGCCTCCACTGTCCACTGAAGCTCTGAAATCAGTTGAATAGGAAGAGGGGCTTAACTCCCCAGAGTTCCTTTGTGCAGCTGATACCTAGGATCCATAAAACACTGAAGGGATAGATATGAAATCGATCATATCGTTGCTGTTACCTTGGACTTACGTTAGGTTTAAATTTGAATGCAACTTTAGGTTTACATGTGATTAGGCAACAAAGTCAAATACTACAAGCAAGCCAAGGCTGTTTTTTGCTAGCGTGTCGCCATATACATTTGTGGAGGCAATGGCACACACGTATGTGTTAACCACTAGTGTGCATGTGTTGTGAGCTCTGAGGACAAAATTTTTGGTACAGTGAGGAGGGATTGCAACTTTTGACAAAGCTTTTTTGTTATATTTGCCTTTCTCTACTGATGACAAATCGCTCAAACCAGATTATATACATAAAACAGGTGAAGCGATCATATGTGTTTATGTACGTATCTGACCACTTTGAAGAATGCCAGTGTTCATCAGAAAGATATTAGTGTGCAAAGGGTTCATCCAGCATTTCAGAAACATTTTAGGGGACATAAAAAAAAGCTCTTGGATTGGCTTGATGTTCTGCTGAATTTAAGATCCCAGTACTCACATCGATCATACTCCATGTAGTTCTGAGATGTTTAAGGACTGCTTAAAAAAATAAAAAAGCCAATTATAATGCATACCATGAAGGCAAGCAGAAGTGCCTACACATACCTGCAATAGCTCAGTCCCTTTGCTCCACCCAAATGCTATAGATGTTATAGATCAAAGCATCTAACTTTATTGGTAGGGCCAATGTGTGCAGGACCCCTCCAAACATACATAGATTTCTACTGGGCAGAGAGCCAACCTATCCTAGTAATGGGTAAAGTATAAATTGGGCTGGTAAGGACGGGCTTTATGAATCCCTTGGCCTGGAAGGTAACTATTTCCTGCAGATAAAGGACAGAAATTAGTTAAAATTAACCAAAAGGCTTAAAGTCACTAAAACTGCTTATATAAACCTATTTAGAAGTCAAATGAAAACTATTGTCTCTTTATAAATTATGCAGAACAGCAGCATGCTCCTCCTTTAGACTGGTGATCTTGAATGCTGGTACTCACAAGATGTTAAGCATTTAAAAGTACAATAGCTCTACGCTGTGCAGTTGCTTCACACATGGACATAAGTACTGGCTGTAGCTGACTGGAGCACCAAGAGGCCATGTACTGGGTGTAAATGGTAGCAGTGACAGACAAAGCCTCTAACACATCAAAACACTGGCAAGACATGCCTGAGAGATGTAGTTTGGGATGTTTCTGTCACCAATCATATTCTGCCCTGAGATTCCCCCTTCCCATCTACACCACCTCTTTACAGACCTCCAATGTCACTGCCTAACAGAGCTTCTGAACAGCCACATATTGCAATAGAGGACATCTGAATATTTAGATTGAGGAATCAGAAAGCATACCTTAAGTAAAAATAAGTGAAATAAAGAATGAGCTATGTTGCAGTGACAATAAAACAGTCCACAATTTATTACACTGTCCCAGCTGTATTATCTTGTTTCCAGCTTCTTTCCTTCTACTACCATCTGAACCTCTTTGGCATTCAATGTCTCGTGCAATAATAAAGCTTCCGCCAGGTTCTTGTGCTCCTTGGCATGACACTTTAAAATACGTTTTGCCCGTTCATAAGAATCCTAAAAAAAAAAAAATCAGCATGATTAAAAAGGTGGTTGGTAGTTACATTTCTAGCACACAGCAGCAATGGTTAGACTGATGAAGTAGTGATCAGCATTATAGCCTTCAACTGTTGGGCTTCATTACTACTAGAGACACTAACCACCAAGAGTCCGAGTCTATGGATACTTGGAGTTTAGCCTGGGCGATCCATTTTCCTCCCCAGTTTGTGATATTAGACTGGCACCCTTTAAGACGCAAGCTTCTTTAGTCTCAGTGACTGGAGTGAAGGATTCACCGCGTTCAGTAATTGGTTAGCAATATTGAGCCTCAAAGTATAGGTTTTGGACAGCGTGGGAAAGGGTTAGGACCTTTATGTTTGTGCCGCTGTTGGGGAGATTTCCCAAATCTTCTGTCCCAGTGACACCGCATCATAACCTTATAACAAAATTGAACACGCTGGAGAAACCTGAATGTGATCTAAAATGGTGAACAGTTTGCATAATTGGACCGTTATGCAAACTGACTTTTTTTTTCTTTGTTTAAATTGTTAATCTGTGTAACCCCTTATTAACCCCAGTTTACTCTAATCAGCCATTATTACCTCCTTATTCTCCTCCACTCAAATCATACTTTTCCTGCTGATTTTTTTTTTTCTGTTCCTATTTTTTTAACTAATATCTAATGTTTTGTTTGCTTTGTTCATTAACATTTTTACACCTTTAACATATACTTACACCTATAAAAAAAAAAAAAAAAAAAAAGCGCAAAAACTGAAAAAAGCCCACTTTACTTCATTTGTAAATAACGCTGCCATGATTTGTATTATACAGGATTTATGAAGCACCAACAGTTTGCGCAGTGCTTTACAAAATGAAGACAGGCATTACAGTTACAACACAATTTTGTACAAGAGGAATCAGAGGGTCCCGCTTGTTAGAGCTTATTTGTACCAGATTCAGAATTTTAGCGTCATTTTAAAAAGAACAAATTACAGAATAAAATGCACACTTATGTGCAGGAACACATTTTTAAACCAACACGGCTCAAAAAATAAAGGGTTTTGTTTAGTTTTAGAACGAATAACCCCTTGACGCCGACGTAACACAAATATGCGGCCTAACAGAACTAGGCTTTTTTCCGTGGGGCCGCATATTTGCGTACCTGTCTTTGTGCTGGGAGCTCGGCGCACATCATTATTGTAAGACTATATTCACAAAAGAAAGCCTTGTCTAAAAAAAAAAAAAAAAAATAAATAAAAAAAATAAAACTGTATTACCTTGTTATCTTAAGTAATGACAACATTTTCACTGAACAAACAGGTCCAAAACAGAAATGTAAAATCTGCTCTGGTCCATAGGGGGTGAACAGGTGTGAAAGTTGAAGTGGTTAAGGATAAGCATTGGCTAACAAACCTTTAGCAGTACAGTATATTGCTCAGCTTGTGTTTTCTGTAATCCCCGGCTCACAATGATTGCGACTTTGAACTCGAGGTACTTCATTTGAAGTATCGCCATTTCAAAGCCACAGGTCATTAAAAGCACCTGAAACTGCCAAAAAACGTGCAGGAACTATTTTCAATATCGGAGTCGGTGTTGCACCAATTTAAACGGTTCCATTGCCGATAATAGGATGCGACTTGTCATGCGATTTGGAACAAAACTGCATGACAAAATCACATCAGTGTGAACCAGAGCTTAGGGCTGTGCCAAAGTATTCTAAAGTTTGAAGATACATCCAACTATATCACAGGTGTTAATTACAGTGGTCATCTGGTTCTAGAACACTGCCGCTTCTCCTGGCTACATCATGAGACTACAAATGCATGTTGGCTTACTGCACTATATTGTACTACGGTGCAAGTCAGCATCTCCATAAAGTGAGCACAATTTATACATTAGGACTCCTTTCCTGCCTTGGTGTTTCTTAGAAACCCCCTTAAACCCTTTAGGTCTATAGTCACTGTATCACACCCTAACACACTGAGACACTAGGAGCAGAATCAATGGAAAATCCCTTTCAACAGGGACGCAGATGGCAACAACCCTCCACCAGCTATTCAACACCTAAAGAGCAATTGAAGACAAGCAAAACACCAAAATTCAGAAAGCTCTCTCAATTGACTTTAACCACTTCAATACTGGGCACTTATACCCCCTTCCTGCCCAGGCCAATTTTCAGCTTTCAGAGCCGTCGCACTGTAAAGGGCAATTGCGCGGTCATACAACACTGTACCCATAGGAAATGTTTTATCTTTTTCACACAAAACAGAGCTTTCTTTTGGTGGGATTTAATCACCACTGAATTTTTTATTTTTTGCTAAACAAAAAACACCTGAAACTTTTGGGGGAAAAAAAAAATAAAAAAAAATGCACTTTTCTTCATTTCTGTTATAAAATTTTGCAAATAAATAACATTTCTTCATAAATTTAGGTCAAAATGTTTTTTTGCTAAATTTCTCTGGTGAAAATAAGAATTGAATTAGTATTTTTTTTTTATTTTTTTAAAGGTTTCTATATATTTTTTTATTTTTAGTACATTTTTCTTTTTTTTACGATTTTATTTTTCAGCACACTGTGACCAAAGCAATACAATGTTACCATAGTAACATTGAATTACTCTTGGCAAGTAATCAGGATTTTATTTCAACACATTAGGATTGCTAATACCAATGTATTTCAGCGATATTTGCAATCATTGTTGCTGAATGAAACTGATCAGTCTTTTGTTGTGATTAGCTGTGCTTGGGCAAAGCTGATCACATGATACAGATGAGCTGTGATTGGCCCTGTCTGTATGATGTGACTGTCTTGACCAGTCACAGCTAACAACATAATGGTATACAATGGATGGCATGACAGGAAGCAATCCATTGTATACAATTGACATGTGATCTGCTGTGATTGGTCCCAGTGGCCACATGACACTGGCAATGGGCCGGTGTAGTGATAGGTCATCGGCTGTGTCCTGTGGACACAGCTGGTGGCAGATTTGCGTGGCCACGTGATCGGTTCGTTTTGACAGGACGTCATATGACGCCCAGTAAGATCAGCGAGTGTCCCGCCGGCCGTCAATCTGCTATAGGCCGGGTGGGAAGGTGTTAAAGTGGAATTTTTTGTCAGAAAATTAAGTCCTGATAGATCACTCCAGGCTGGCCCCACTTGCAGGTATAGCGATGTAAAACATAATAAAAAATAAGCACCTGTACGGTTTAAAATCCAGAAATACACTGTCTGACCCTGCTCTGCACATGCTCATTTGCTCTGTTCTTGGCACTGTGCCTAAAATCAGAGCCACTAGAGGCCAATCAGCTGACAGCTTTATTATTATTTACTGCTGCTGAAGGGGGAAGAGAGCATCAGGAATGACAGAAACTGCAGAGAAAACACAGATTAGGTAGCAAGAAAAGAAATGCAGGATAGGTGACAGGGCAAACTCTGCTGCCTGGGAGACACAAATGAGTTAAAAACTTACAAGAAGAGAGTCTCACATCTCCCTGATATTCTCCTTTTTCCCTCATGGGCAGCTTTTGATCTTCAGCCCTGTTCAAGCGTTACTAAACCCATAACAGTAGAATTAGTCTGTATATGCAGTAAAGCATGCTTGTTATACTCACTGTGGAACCTAAGGGGTTAATCCTCAGCATTTTGTAAAACTGCTGTTTGATCCTGACTTCTCTGATGCTCCCTTCTTACAGTGCCCTCTCTTATCTTCTGATAAGACATATCGTGTGGAGACGCTCTGCACATGCTTAGTTTGGTGTGTTGCTAGAGAGGTTTTTTTCGTGGGAGAGTACACGTGAACAGCACAGGGCCAATTAGCACTGTTCAGATAGAGGTCGGGGTCCTGCATCTTCCTAGGGCAGAAAGAAAACTCCTCCAACAAGCTTTAACCAGTGCTCAGCTGGACACTGATAGAAGTCACAAGACTGCTATATACTGCTGATGAGAAAAGGAATTTAGAAGTTTATATTTACTAAAAGAATTGCACTTCCATGTTGTGTGTACTGTGGGAGACCAGATATAGTGAATGCAGGGTCCTGGGTTTATTAACACTTTAAACTTCTGTCAGCCTCCCTCTCTAAGCCAAGACCTACAATCAAGGCTGGAAATGTACAGATTTTAAATGACGAAAGTAACAGTTTTTGAGACCAAGAGAGGGGGTGAGTTTCTAATAAGGAAGTGACTGGTCTGGGCTTCAGCAAAAATTGCATCTTCCAACAAGAAGAAACAGGAGCAATGCTGGAGGCAATTCACAGCACACACCAACTTGGGTAGCACAATTACTAATGTGTGGAATGTATGTTATCTTAAAAAAACTTCCTATATATAGTAAAGCATATCATTGGTCAAAATGTAAACTCAAATTCAATTCCACACATTTCTAGCCTACTCCTATTTGGATCGCTCTTGCAGTTTGTAAACTTACTTTGTGAAAATTCCCACACATTTGCCTCCTAGAATTTTGTGACACACATTCCCTGTTAATGTGCATTGCTGTGTCACACATTTCACAAAGCCTGCCTTCTGAACTACAGGAGGTGCTGAGAGGAGTTTGAGGAGGCGGAGTTAGTACAGGAATTGCTGCTTTCTAGGCAGCAAGGTACCATGGATATGTAGTCCTTGGAAATAGAAAGTAAACAGCAGAGGAAAAACAGCAAAGCATGCAGGGAATCCAGGAAGTTGTAGAAAGATGGCCAGGAGACAGGCAGAACTCACAACATGAATAGAGGATTTTTCAAGTAAGCTTTTATTAGACTGCGAAATATAACTGTTTGTATTGCTATCACAGTGCTCAGGTTACAAAATAAAAGTTTATGCTGTGGTGATAGATTTCCTTCGGGGCCGGTTCACACTATAGAAACAGTTGAGATGTGTTCCGGGTGCACTTTTTTTACGTGTTCCGGTGCAGCATTTTTGATGCGTTCCAGTGCGTTTTTTTATGCATTCCAGTTCATTTTTTCCCCTCTCTTCAATTTAAATAGGGACATGTGCGTTCCAGTGCAGTTCTGTGCAGAAAAAAATGCAGCATGTTCTATTGTTTTCTCCTGCAACCGGAATGCACTGGAACTGCAAGCACTGATGTGAGCTATGACATTAACAACCTTAGAACCTACTTTCTGTGAGTTTTGGATGCAGAAAAAAGCATCTGAAAACGCATGTAGTGTGAACTGGTCCTTAGGATTGCCACTACTGAACTCTCCTTTTGAGAATGCTAGTTTTCTGGCTGCCACACTGATGCTTTGGTTACCAGCTGTCTGAGTGGCTCACCTGAAACCGGTATAGACAGAAGGTATCTTGACACAAAAGTTTCAGTTAGACACAGCCATGCAACTAGCCTTTTCAAAAGGAGGTCAGCATTAAAAAAAGGGGTCACCTCTGTGGTTGGTAAGTGCCATGTGGCTTTTATTCACTCACACAGTTATAAAAGTACAACCTGTACTTTATCCTGGCAGACAGTTCAGTAACAAGTGAACGTTTATCCCTTTTACCTTAAGCAGGGTGCGAACTTCTTGTTCAATAGCAGCTTGTGTTTCTGGGCTCAGTTTTCCTGTATCAGAATATGTCATGACTCCAAGCTGAAATAGTTTTTTAAACAGTCAATAAGTATTCATTGCAATACATCATGTATTATACATTTCAAAAGGAAAACAATGTTTTTGAAAAGCTGTAAAGTAAAACTACTTCTACAGCAATTTGTGTGCCATTGCCAACATTGACCATTCTGGAGAAGGTACTTTCCATAGGCAACACTTTAAAAGCCTTTACAGGTCACATTAGATGTACACAGGAGGTCTAGAAATTACTGCCCTCGATCTGACATTTGCGGTGGTACCTCACATGCATGGTGCAATATCTGTTTACATACCACCATGGTACCACCGCTTGCCTTTGTGTGCAAGCACGGAGATGGGGGGTGGTAGTGAATTTTTTTTTTTTTTTTTTTTTTTTTACAGTCCCTTTCATTTTTTTTTTTTAATCACTTTTATTGTTATCACAGGGAATGATAGCAATAGACAGTAACAGGTATTCTTTTCTGAGAAATCTGGGGTCTGTTAGACTCTACATCTCTCCTCTGCCCTTAAAGCATCTGATCACAGAAAGATCAGTGTAATCAGATGATTTCCCAATTTTAAAATGGCACGGTTTATAACTAAAATGATGAAATGCTTGTATCTTCCGATCTCTTTAGCCCAGAGAGGTGATTGGAGGCTTTCCAGTGTCCGATCAACTCTATTGTCAGGTAGCAGAACTGCCAGCTGCATTTTTGGGTTCCCTGATGAGAGGAGAGAGCTCAAGAAAATTTTGGAAGGTGGCGGGAGGGGTGGCGGCTAATTAGCGGCTAGGATTGTTTTTACATGAAAGCTGACCACCAGCTGAAAAAAAACAATATCAGGATGATGCCTGTAGCTGCAGGCATCATCCCGGTATAACCACACAAAGTCCAGCAATGTACCAGTATGTTGCAGGTCCATGTTGGGCATATCTGTAACAGCAGAGAACATGGGCATATGATGAATCGGGTATGTGGACCGCAATTCATTCTTTTCTGTAATGCCCATGTTGAGGGTTAGGCCCAAAAAAGTTTTAAATTCAGAAACTGATCGGTTTCCATGCAAACTGTCTGGCAACAGCTGAATTTAGGTGGGAGGCGATGTATTGTTGTGCGTATAAATTGCTTTGGCCCACAATCAATTTATACAAATTTTCTGTGAAAAACAGCAGAGGGGCTAAAACGCTAGTGCTGGCAGCAAACGGGGCCAATCCTGCTAACACTGAGTTAATGGGTACACAAAGGAGGCACTAGTATAGTTCTGTTCGTGATCAGTATATTGATCTGTACAAACACTATACTAGTAATGGCGGTGATCAGCGACCTATAACGTTAGTGCGATAGTGTGCGGGCAATCTAATGCTTACTGACCCTGACAGCATCTGATGTCACTAGAGGCAGGAATACAGTGAAAAATTCTATATACTGGCACTGTAGCGAATGGCATTGGCTGGGTGACGGGGTGACCAAAGGGTTAATAGGGACAATCAAAGGGTCAAATGTCCTAATCTAACATGTGCTTGTGAAAAGTAGTGCTTTTACTTGGTGCGGTGTTTCTCTCTTCTCTTCCTGGACGGCATAGAAGGCAGTGGGGGGGTTGGGGGTTACACACACACCCCCCAGGAAATAGAAAGCTTTGACCAGAGCCGCCGCTGTCCCGCACATTGGTGGGCGGGCAGATAGCAAATAGTCAAAAAAAATAAAAAAAAAAATAAAAATAAAAAATTCAGACAAAAATTCTCAATTTTTTTTAAAACCTTTTCAAATTTTTTTTTAAACATTTTTCTTTTTACGATTTTTTTTTTTTTTTTTTTATAAAAATAATTTTTATTAGGGATTTTTTTTTTTTTTTTTTTACACTTTGCATTGCAAAGCTTACTTTGAATTGTCATGAATGTGTTAGGACAGTTCAATATAATAGAGATCTATGATTGGCTCCAGCATGTCACATGGTAGAGTGCTGCGATTGGCCCCATGTGTCATGTAAGAGCTGTGGACTAATCACAGCTAACTAGGCAAAGCTTTTATGAATCAGACTGATTCATAAAAGCTTTGTTGTCATTGTGATCACGTGATCGCATACCGTTTATGTGATCACCGTGCCTCGATGACCGGTATTCTCATTCTGCTGTGCCGTCGCTGGTGCTGTACGTCACTGGTGCTGTGGCTGCCACCTGTCCACAGAATATTGCGGGTGGGTGGTCTGAAAGTTTTTTTTTTTTTTTTTTTTTTTAAATCACAGTTATTGCTGTCACAAGGAATGTAACCATCCTTGTAACAGCAACAGGCACATGACAGGTACTCTTTAGGGAGAGATTTTGGGTCTACAAGTCCATGCACCGACTGGTGTCTCGGATCTCCCGGTGAGATGGTAGAGCCAGAGACAGTGGCGAGAATGGGGGTGGGGGAGTGGGTGACATCACCAGGAAGTAATTAAAATGATGCTGCAGCCAACCGATGGCCATCACTCACCACCTTCTTCTCTTTCCACCCTCCCTCCTTTTTCCTATGTTCGCTTCACCCCAACTGTGCTCTCCAAAAGTATGTTCATTCTTGTAAAATGGGAATCTATCACCTGATCTGTGCAACATTCCTAGCACTTAAAGCTGAACTAATAAAGTGTGTAGCACAGATCTTAGCTGCAGCACCATGGTGGTCAGACCTATTTTTTGTGGTGTTTAACCACTTCAAGTCCGGACACTTTCACCCCCTCCCTGCCCAGGCCAATTTTCAGCTTTCAGTGCCATCACACTGACAATTGCAACACTGTACCCATATGAATTTTTTAGCATTTTTTTTGAGACAGAAAAAAACTTCATTTTGGTGGCATTTATTCATCACTGGGATTTTTAATTTTTTGTTATATAAATGAAAGTCCAAAAATGTTGGGGGGGGGGGGGGGGGAAGGGTTTCTTATAATTTTTTGCAAATAAGATCTCTTCATAAATCTTGGCTAAAATGTATTCAGCTATCTTTTTAGTTAAAAAAAAAACCCCACACAACACAACCCAAATTAGTTTATAACTAAAAACTATAATTTTTCAAAATTATTTTTTACATTTTTATATTATTTATGGGTTTGTTTTAACATACTGTCACCCTAGCAGTACAGTGTCACCATAGGGACACTGTACTACTGTGTGGGGGTGTGATGATTTTGTTTTACACTGATTGCGTTTACACCCATAAAGGCTGTAAAAGCAATCATTTCTCCTCTCTGGCTGCATTCTTGCAGCCATTGAGAAATACTGTGTGAGCTGTGATTGGTCACAGTTTGTCACATGGTACAAGGCTGTTGTGAATAGCCTTGCACCATGTGACCTCTGCAATCATTCAAAGATTTCACACGTAGTAAGCAATGATGTCAGGAAATTACATCTTGTTTACTACTGCTCATGTGATCACTGATTGGCTAATCAGTGATCACATGAACCGGGACCTCACACAGAGGTCCTGTACAGTGATCCTCCAGACATAGCGGGTACCGGATCGCAGTGCCGAGCGCTTCCAGGAAGCGCACACAGCCAGTGAATGCGGGTGACATTTAGAAACATCAACCCGCTCCGGCAGCGCTCCTGTCCGGCTGTTTATAGACATGGGCTGGATGGGAAGTGGTTAATAAGCCTTACGGCTCAATTCAGATGGGTGCCGAGACCCATCTTCCAAGCCAAGCTTTTTTTTTTTTTTTGCTCATGCATCCACCTGAGTGCTGCGTACAGGCAGCCCAAAAAATTTACATGCGGGCAGGAGCGGGTGCATGGATCTGCCGCTGCATCCACTTCTTTGGGATGCCTGTACGCAGCTCTCAGGTGGAAGCCTGTGAAAAAAAGCTTAAAGACCTTAAAGTATCAAAAACCAACATTAGGTGCCCTGATAAACAGCCCCCCAAGTTGAGCTCAACTTAACTAAACGATATAAGGCGTTTTACTAAGCAAAACACAGGAAAATAAAAGCACAATTTACATTTTGGTTTTCATCCACAGTATTTTACACACTTTAAATGTAAACATCATGCACAAGGCAGTGAAAGCACTAACCTTTTCACTCATCCCAAATTTGGTCACCATGAGCTTTGCAATTTTTGTAGCACCATCAAAGTCATTAGAAGCCCCTTAAAAAAAAAAAAAAGGAAACAAATGAAGAGTTTGATCTGTATGGACAGGAGTGTACCATGAACAGAAGGTTACATTTAGACAGGTTACCTGTGGGTGATATACTCTGGCCCAAAAATGATTTCCTCTGCCACTCTTCCTCCCATGCTTACATCCATCTGAGCTAACAGCTGAGACTTTGTCTCACTCCACCGATCATTCTCTGGCAGAAGAGACACCTACATGGCATGAAGATTGAGACAAATACATTAACAAGGACAGCGCAGTATAAAACTGGAAGGAATGCATTTAAAAGGCAGATAGCTCTATCAAGACACAGGGTGTAAAACCTGGCCATGACTATATCCAGAAATTGGATGCTGGTAATGGTGAAAAATTAACAAAACTAACTCATGCTCATTGCATCAAGTGTGTTTATGCGCGTACATCTGGAGATTGACGTTTTGTTGCGTTCAACCTTGTTCCATGTTATTTATGTATAGTAAATAAACCCAAAAATCTACTGAAAAGTAAAGAAAAATCTAACCACTGACAAAAGTCTTGTTAACTTGAGGTCACACACTGCACAGCATAAAAGCAGGGAGCGGAGTGTAATCTGAAACCTGAGTGGAGGGAATGGACACACCCATTTCTACAGTCCCACACGGAAACACCCACATCTGAGGCTGTCTTGTCAATCAGTTTGTGTGCTGGGAGGGATTGTCTGGTGTGGTATAGACTGTCAGAACTGACTAACAGATAGCAGAAGGAAGACAGCAGGCAGATATCATAATATGTGGTTTGGATCAAGGCAAGTATATTACTACAGATGGATAGGATTTGTTCATTTTTCATTTCAGACATTTACAACCACTTAAAACCACAGTCAAGTGCATTTTTAGTAAGCACACATTGTAATGACTGCAGTGTTTTACAAGGTAATATCTTGGTTTGCAAAGGTATTAGTTGCACATAGGATACAATTATATTCTTTGTGGCTACTGAAGAATATATTTAAATGAAAGTTTGTGTCTGAACGCCAGATTTAAAATATCTCTTGCATCATCCCACAGATATTAAGATATAATGTACAGGACAAGTTGATGACAATATGGTGACTTTTAGGCCACACTAGAACAAAGCAACTAGAGAGACATTGCCATTTATAATCTACCGACTTACATGACCAAGAGTTGGCCCCCGAGGCATGATTGTCGCTTTGTTGATAGGCATTGCATCTTTGGTAAAATACGCAATAATAGCATGGCCAGATTCATGGTAAGCAGTGATCGTTTTATTCTTGTTGTCTATTTCTACACTTCTTCTCTCTGGTCCTGAAATATGTAAAAAAAAAAAAAAAAAAAAAAAAAGAGTATTGAAGGTATTTGACACTACTGCAATATGACTACACACATGCAGTGACGCAACTAAGACTCACCCATAAGAATCTTGTCCTTGGAAAACTCTAGTTCCCTCATAGTAACCATGCTCTTCCCATCCACAGCAGCTTTCAAGGCAGCCTGGTTAACTAAATTCTCCAGCTCTGCTCCTGAGAATCCCACAGTGCCACGGGCTATGATTTCAGCTTCAACCGCTGTACAGGTAAAGTGAATAGATTTTAGCAGGATTTATTAAAGTGTGTTTCCACTTTTGTAGTCTAATTTGAGAAAACCTCACTAGATATGTTATCTCCTCCCCATTCACACTGCATGTCTAAAACAAACAATGTGTAAAAAAAAAAAAAAAAAAAAAAAACACCACCACACACACGACTTTTTACCTTTGACATTTTCACAAATCATTAGAAATATTTGAGAAATATTTTAGAGCAAGTATGTCCAAAAAGTACTATATCGTAAAGCGATAATTCACTGTCTCAGTCAACATTGACTATTTTTAATCCTTATGCTGCTAGTATTATTACATAGGATATATATAGCTCCCAACAGTTTACGCAGCAGTTTTACAAAATGAAGGTAGACATTACAGTTACAATACAATTTGATACAAGAGGAAACAGAGGGCCTTGCTCGTCAGAGCTTACAATCTAGGAGTAATTAGTAAATAGATAGAAAAATACACCATAAGTGTGTGTTTTAAACCTTTGTTTTATTACGTTGATTTCCAAGTCTAGGCAAATGATGTCATACATCCCAGGAGTTTCAGGAGGGGAGGAGCGCTTTCTTAGCCAAGAACACCTTCTGTCTACATGCCTAAGCTAAGGGCAGATGGATTCCAGGAAGTAAATACTACATTAATCATCTGCCCTTGCTCAAGATGCCATGAGCAGAAATGCTAGGTGGTGTTCTTCAAAGTGTGTTTTCAGCAAAATAAAGCATGCAGACATGAATGAGTTTGTGGTGAATAATACAAATGAATTAAATACTGTTTTGGGTTTGTGGTGCAAAACATACACAGTGTAGTTCTCACTAAGGAGTATTGTATATTTTTAACTTCTGTTTCTTACATGTTCTAAGCAGAAATTTTCTAGACCAGTTGCACAGATGTCACTCGATAGATCCACTTCTATACAACCTCCCTGCCCATACATGGATTGAAATTTGGCCGATCCCTGCTAAACTGTGATCCATGTATAGCCCTGCTTAAAATGATTTAATCAGCTGCTGAAAGTGCATAAAAAGCGAAGTATGCAGCTTCTCTTTTAATCCTTGTCTATGTTCCTTTTTAAGCTGATGCCATGACCATTACCCCAGGTTTCCCGTTTCAGAGTGGCTCCTTACTCTTGCAGCATCCTGTGGAATCACCTTTTGCATGCGGGGACTAGAGTTGTGTCTCCATACACTATGTGCACCCACAGAAACACACAGCCCCATAGGCTAGGATAGCAAGCAAGCCACCACAAAATTAAAGTCTGAAAGAAGTCAACTTACACTCATCATATTTGATTTTTCCGAGGTACCATTTGAGAATCTCTGTACGACCCTTCACATCAGGCCTGGGAACTGTGACTTGCATGTCAAAGCGTCCAGGTCTCACCAATGCACTAGAAAAATTAAAACACGATAAAAAAAAAAAAAAATTAAATCGAAAAAAAACATGCTCTAAACAACAAATACAACCATCAGTGATACACTGATACTCTGACATATCTATATCTCTATATATATCATATATCATATATACTGAAACACTGACATACATGATTACTCACTGAGTGGAGGACACTCATGATGTAACTCCTGCACTTTTTTTTATTTTTATTTTTTTTAACCGAGTCGAGAGTCTACACACTGCCCTATACATTCACCACATGAAGTGACCAGAAAAATAGATTTTTGGAAGTATAGAAACAGTCTATTTTTTTTTAAACTTAAGTCTGCTTCACCCGCAACTTCAATATTCCACAACATGTAAAAAACCATCACAGCAAATGACTGTCTCCTGGCTGAGAGACATCGACTATGCATCTTAGATTTCTAGCACAAACATTATATTGCGGTTTTAGATTTCCCTATTTAAGTGGTAAAAATGGGATCAATTTGTTGACACATCTACTGTGCACATACTTATCCAAGGCTTCAGGGAAATTTGTTGCTCCTATGATTATAACACCTTCATTTGGCTTAAATCTATAACAAGAGGGAGGAAATAAAAATAATCAGTGAGATTAAACAAATCATTAATCATGAGCATAAACTTTATAAAAGGGGTTTCTACAGCACCGTTTTTACATTCCTGTAGAAAGTTATGAGAATGCAGAACCCCCTATGAAGCATGTCAACCGCATATCAGGTGGTCAGTTGCGCCAGTCAAATAATTCTAAATGATCGCATAGTTGTCAATAGTTATTTACTTTAAAAAAGTCAACACAGAGGACAAAGGCGCACTGCTCAAGTCTGGAAGAAAAGGGACTTAACCTCCAAATACGGAAAGGCTTCTTTACAGTAAGAGCTGTGAAAATGTAGACTCCCGCAAGAGCTGGTTGTGGCCAGCTCAGTAGATTGAAATAAAAAAAGGCCTGGATTTTTTCTTAGATACACAAAATATAACTGGATACTAATATTTATAAGTAAACTTGATCCAGGGTATATCCGATTGCCTCTTGGAATACAAAAAACAAACAAAAAAAAAACAAAACCAAACAAAAAACCAAACAAAAAAACAAACCTTTCAACAAAAAGTTATTTGGAAAAAAACAAACAAATCTTTGCTCCTCTGGTAATGCAAATCGTTTGGGTACTAGGAAAGTTCTGCTACCCCCCCCCCCCCCCCCCTTTTATTTAATTATCTTTTTTCTTCCCATCCCCTATAATTTTTTTTTTTTTTTTTTTTTTTTTTTTTTTTTTTTAATTGGGGCATGAGAGGGTCTTGGATCTGGACTGATGTGTTGGGTCCAGGTTTCTCTTGTAAGTTGTTTTTTTTGTTTAGTCTCACTATGTTCCTTTTCTTATCTCTAACACTCAGGGCACATCTTATACCCGAGTATTACACAGCACTGGTTTATTCCTGCTTTAAAAGGTGCATTATTTTACTATGATGCTTGTCATTGCGCCATTTGTTCATGTAAATGTACTGCTCTTTTCTTCACTAGAAATGTTATGATTATTACTTTTAATTTCGAAAACTCAAGAAAATCAATAAAATTTTACTGAATGAAACACCAGAAAAAAACAGCAACTGAAGTCATGGTGGTAGCCAAGAATGGTTTTAAGGCTACAAAAGGATTCATGAGGAGATATATGAGAGATTAAAAAAATCACCATTTAAAAAAAAAAAAAAAAAAAAAAAAAACACCACACAGGAATTTCAGTCCCCTCTTTAGAGGCTGTGCTCCCTACCTCCCTCCCATCGCCATTAAGACACATTTGCAGATCTGCTGAAGGCTCCGCCTAAACTTTGGGTCCTGGCAGAATCCTTCAGCACATCTGCACGTGCAGAAGATTTCTCACGCATGCGCAAAGATAGAGGTCTGGGACCTCCACAATAGCCATTTTTGCTAATGCGAGGGAATCCCAAGTGTGTGCAGATGTGCTGCACGACTCACTCAGGACCTAAAGCCCTGTGGTAAATCTGCACATTGGCTGGATCCAGGAGTAGGGATGGGAGAAACAAATGTATAGGAGAGAAATGTAGAGATGTTGCACAAAAAAAAAAAAAAAAAAAAAAGCATAAGAAAATACTGATAATCTTACCCATCCATTTCCGCCAGGAGCTGGTTTATTGTTTGTCTGGAGTATGGGTGCATGGGTGATTCAACCCTTTTACCTCCAACTGAATCCAACTCATCGATAAATATAACACAGGGTGCATTAGCCTTAGCTTCCCCTGTTCATAAAAAAAAAAAAAAAAAAAAAAAAAAAAGTACTTCATTAGTATATTCCCTTCATGATAAGTATCTGCCATGTAATTATTAGAAACACTTAATACATGCTATATATAATGAACAGCCACAGTGCCTACTAACTTTTCATGAGTAACTGTTCTCCCTTTTTATTCTTGCCAATGAGTTACATTTATACCATTTTTAGCACACTCTGGGGTTCATTTACCAATCAAGTTAAGCACGTTCACCGTGTTGCCGTAAAAAAAATAAATAAATAAAAAAAAAAAAAAAAAAGCTTAGTTTACAATAATGTCTGTCTTATTAAAGTGTTACTAAACCCACAACAGTAAAATCAGTCTGTATATGCACCAGTAAAGTGAGCTTGTTATACTCACTGTGGAACCGAAGGAGTTAATCATCTGCATTGTGTAAATGCTGATTGAGCCTGACTTCTGATCCTCCCCTTCCCTTCTTCCTGTGTCCCACTCTCATCTCCTGATAAGACATTGTGTGGAGTCACTCTGCACATGCTCAGTTTGGTGTGTATGGCTAGAGTTTTTTCTGGGAGAGTGCATGTGATCAGCACAGGGCCAATCAGCACAGTCCAGAGGTCAGGGGTTCTGCATCCTCCTACAGAATGAAAACTCCTCCTACAAGCTTTAACATGTGATCAGATGTACACTGATAGAAGTCACAAGACAGCTATATACTGCTGGTGAGAAAAGGTATTAGCAATTTACATTTACTAAAATAATTGCACTTCCATGTTCTGTGTACTATGGGAGACCAGATATAGTGAATCCTGGGTTTAATAACACTTTAAAGAGCAACCCCCCCCCCCCCCAAAAAAAAACAAAAACATTTTGGTGGTGTAGAATAGGTTTTGATTCCCTGCCATGTCTTCAAGGTACCTGCCATTCCAATTAGGTCTTAAAAATGGAGAGAAATCTGCAGAAGTACTTTATATAAATAGGGTGTAAAGGAGCACAAAACACTGCATCAGTGACCTTCCCACTGGCTGTCCTTTGGACATAGAGCACTCTAGAGAAGCTGAAAAAAAAAAAAAAAAAAAAAAAAAAAAAAAAAAAAGGTATCTCAGATTTAGCCAAGCTTGTGACCTGTCACAACTGTTCCAAGGTGGAGGGAGTAATATGAAGTCCTGGCAGGAAATCAAAGCTTGCCCAACACTATACAAATAATATTTCTTTATTTTCCGCAGAAGTGGAAAAAAAAAAAAAAAAAAAACATCTAAAACTGTTGGGTGGCATTTTTTTTTTTTTTTTTTTTTAATTACCATGTAAAGCAGTTTATGTGTGTGTGACCCGTCTGTAGATGTCACTCTTCCAAAGACATTTTTACAACACTATTGTCCATCACACTATGGCAAAGCTGAAAGTTTCTCTTTTATTACTTATGAGAGAGTGTAAGGGGAGAGTCCAAATAAATAAGATGACCCTTGCACTAAAACTTCCTTACTATTCAAAAAGCTGAATGCTAACACAAAAAAGCTAGAGAATTTTTAAAGGTGATGCTACCGGGTCAGATTTATGAACAAAGTGCATTGCAGAGTCTACTGTCAACAGATCAGAGACTCTAATCATATTACTTATTGTCAAGTACACAAATCTCACACAATTGTTTTGGATACTTTTTTTTCTCTCCACTAATCTCATTGTTACTTCACCTTGACCTTTTGTCCAGTTCTCTGTTCTGTATCCTGTAACAGCCCCCCCCCCCCCCCCATGCACCCTCCCACTTCCTTCTCCTTTTACACCTCCTCCGTTTCAGTTGGAACCCTATTCCACCCATGAGGAATCTCCTTATTTAAGCACCTGAATATAAAGAACATTTTGCAGAGGGTCGAGGGGGAGTATTTTACCAATTTTTAGCTCGTGACCACCAAGTATGTGAAAACAAACTACTCCACAGATTCTAGATTTCTTAAAGTATTACTTTTTAGTGTGACATTCCCAGTAGTAACGGCTGTGGATGTAACAATCAGACTTTGCAACCTTTTCCTTCTACCCTGACACTCTTATAAAACATGCATTTAAAATATACAAAATAATATATAAAATATATAATGATAAATTAGGTAAAAAAAAAAAAAAAAAAAAAAAAAAAAAAAAAAAAAGGGACAGTCAGGAATTGGTATTCATTCTTAAGGTATAGCTGTCATGACAGAAATACAGGGCTGCTTTTGCCATGTCATTCCCTTTTTTAACATTTACCATGAACAAGAAGGTAAAACAGAAAAGATCAAGTCAGAAGTCCTTATCTCTACATACTTGTCCTAGATCAGTGACTCCAGGCACTCTAAAGGTAAGCTTCCTTTATAAAGGAACAGATAAAGTCAACATTTGAGAAAAAACAAAATTAACATACTAAATAAATTCCTTATGCGACTGGCTCCAACCCCAACAAACATCTCATCAAACTCTGAGCCTGTTGCGTAATAGAAAGGAACATCAGCTTCCCCAGCGACAGCTCGAGCCAGGAGGGTTTTCCCTGTGCCAGGTGGTCCAATTAACAGAATACCTGAAGAAAACAAACAACAACTCGTTATATACAGCATAACAACTCAAGCAAAAGGAGCTACAGATTATGCATTGAGGAAAGGAATAATCCCATCCATGCTTCATATTCAATAAATAAGTGTGTAATCAAATGCTAACAATTCACAAGCCTTCATTAAATGCACTGCAGCCTCTGCTGAGCTGGGCGAATTTAGACTTCCAATGAAATGGGAAGGCAGTTACGGGTCTTCTATAGTACTACAAGGGTCAAAATGAAAACTGTTGTCCTGCAGTCAAAAATGTAGCACACCAGGTGTATCAAAGCAAATTAACACAGGTAGTAGATCTTACCTTTTGGAAGCTTTCCACCTAAAACAGTAAACTTCCGTGGACTTTTCAAGAACTCAACCACTTCCTGTAATTCAACCTTTGCTTCTTGAACCTGTTGATAGGGAAAACACACTGTGCTCAGTAATATTAACTGCACAGATAAAATGTCAATAATTTAGAAAACTAGGAGGCTATTCTAATTTAAAACCCTTTGCCCAAAATGAAAGAACACATCTGGACAGAGACAAAGATGAAGTATTTATGAAAAGTGTGCAGGATCTGTGCAAATGAGCATTCCAGTCAGTTTGGACAGTGGACCTGAAAGTCCCAATTCTAAGGCCTCCTTCACACAGCCATTTAGCCGCACACTCCGGATTTCACCTGCGAGAATAAACGGATTGTGAGCATGGATGCAGTCAGCTAGATCCAGACTCAAACATCTGTTCCTAACCGCAGGCAACCCCAGCATAGGAAGAAAACTATTCAGTTCAGGGAGCTTAGGAAGACACGTGGCCACTCCATGAAATTGGAGAAGCAATTTAATCAAACTGCAGCGTGTTCTTTACTGTTAGAGTGCAAGGATGTGGAACTACCTTTGCCAATAAGTGGTGTAAGCGGGAAGCATAGAAAGAAAAGAAAAAAAAAAAAAAGCACCTCTTATGGGCATCTTAGTGAATGCAATATACAGAGATATGGGAAATATGGACTTAAAACACACACACACACGTTGAACTGGATGGACTGGTGTCTTTAATCAACCTTCCTATGTACGTAACCCCACAGTGTGCAGGTACATGCAAGCAGTGGCAGCTGCTGTCAGCCTGTCAGTTTTTATAGGCTGAGCGGCTGCCACTATTCACATGCACCTGTCATTCCACCCATAAGAATCTGCCGATTCTTGCGGCTGGAGCCTGGTGTATGAGGCTAAACAGCCATGTGAGGAATGCCTAAAAATGTACTGCGCACCAAAAAATTTGCTGGTATGCCAGTCTGCTATTGCAGACTCGATCAAATAATTTTCCAGGTCCCATCACCCTCCAGCTTCTCTGGCTAGTGTCTGATTTTTCTATAGAAATGTTAAAGGTCCAGTGATAGCTAGGATAATAGAAAGCAGGATGGCTGGACCTAGAAGTGCACAGCATTAAGTTCTACAAGTGCAGCTACATACCAATCCTCTCCATCCACTCTATTCAGTCTCAAAACCAGGAATGTAAACTGTAATATATTGCAGCTTACCAGTCTTTAAATGTTGCAGCTTCATTAGTTTTCCTATTTTAAACCCCTTTCCCCCCCATTATTTTCACTGGGTAACACATTAACAAAATTTCCTGCTCTAGGGTGACAACATTCATTCATGTACTGTCTATAGGTGCAGCAGCATTGTTACTCTAAGACAGGAAGTGTGGTTGGAATGCACATGTGCCTCTCATCTCCATAACATGTGAGCGATGTTTTGTAGTCCACAGATATAGCTGGAAACAATGCAAACTACTGCTAACTGTGCAGCATAGGCAGAAAGCACAGCAAGTTATCAGCTCATAGGATCTCCAGCAAGGAGAATAGTATATTTAACAGACCAAAAAGGTTTAACTATGAGTTAATTGAAAAGGTTTACACACAGTTTAAATTCATGCAATTTCAGCCACTTAACCTCCCTAGCAGTATGAGGTCAATATTTCTGTGCTCAAAGCGGTATGTTTTTTGTATAGCAATATGTTTTTTTATTGTAGGCCTGTCATTTTTAGGAATAACTCACTGAAATCTGTCCGAATAAGAGTCTAGTAAACATCCCAGGTATGATAAAATTTGAAACAAGAAATCATAAATTATAATAAATAATCATAAAAAAAATAAAATAAATTTAATTCAATAATATAATCAAAACCAAAAACACTGAAATTTGAAATAGAGCGCCAAGTTCGCACATCACTGAGCTAAGTCGCAAAATCATTTTCAGTGTCTGATGACGAATTTCCCCCACGAATCATTATCACTCAATTCTGCAAGTGGTTCTAATTTACTATCGCGATTCTCTAGCCCAGTGGTGGGCAACCTTTTTTTTCAACTGAGCCAAATCTCGCCAAAACCATGATTGAAATTTATTTTGAGAGCCACATTTTTAAAACTGAAAATACATCTCCCATATAGTAATTCATCCCCCATAGTAATTCATCCCCCATATAGTAATTCATCCCCCATAGTGTAATTCATCCCCCATAGTAATTCATCCCCCATAGTAATTCATCCCCCATATAGTAATTCATCCCCCATATAGTAATTCATCCTCCATATAGTAATTCATCCTCCATATAGTAATTCATCCCCCATAGTAATTCATCCCCCATATAGTAATTCATCCCCCATAGCAATTCATCCCCCGTATAGTATTTCATCCCTCGTATAGTATTTCATCCCCCGTATAGTATTTCATCCCCCGTATAGTATTTCATCCCCCGTATAGTATTTCATCCCCCATATAGTATTTCATCCCCCATATAGTATTTCATCCCTCATATAGTATTTCATCCCCCATATAGTAATTCATCCCTCATATAGTATTTCATCCCTCATATAGTATTTCATCCCCCCATATAGTATTTCATCCCTCATATAGTATTTCATCCCCCCATATAGTATTTCATCCCTCATATAGTATTTCATCCCTCATATAGTAATTCATCCCTCATATAGTATTTCATCCCCCCATATAGTAATTCATCCCTCATATAGTATTTCATCCCCCCATATAGTATTTCATCCCCCCATATAGTATTTCATCCCTCATATAGTAATTCATCCCTCATATAGTATTTCATCCCCCCATATAGTATTTCATCCCCCCATATAGTATTTCATCCCCCCATATAGTATTTCATCCCTCATATAGTAATTCATCCCTCATATAGTATTTCATCCCTCATATAGTATTTCATCCCTCATATAGTATTTCATCCCCCATATAGTATTTCATCCCCCCATATAGTATTTCATCCCCTCATATAGTATTTCATCCCTCATATAGTATTTCATCCCCCCATATAGTATTTCATCCCTCATACAGTAATTCATCCCTCATATAGTAATTCATCCCCCATATAGTATTTCATCCCTCATATAGTATTTCATCCCCCCATATAGTATTTCATCCCTCATATAGTAATTCATCCCCCCATATAGTATTTCATCCCCCCATATAGTATTTCATCCCCCCATATAGTATTTCATCCCTCATATAGTAATTCATCCCTGATATAGTAATTCATCCCCCCATATAGTATTTCATCCCCCCATATAGTATTTCATCCCCCCATATAGTATTTCATCCCTCATAAAGTAATTCATCCCTCATATAGTATTTCATCCCCCACAGTACTATCCCCCCCCCCCCCCCCTTCTAGTAAGCCAAGTCCCCCGTGTCAATTCACTTACCTTTTGCGTTCCTCTCGCTGTCTTCCCGCGCCGTTCGGGTCTTCAGGGCGGACTGTGAGAGGAGCCTAGCTCCCCTCCCCTCACGTTCGGCACGCTGCCCCGCCTACACACATCCTGACAGCCACATCCGCAAGCCGGATTAAAAGGTCCGCGCGGACTTTTGGGGCTGCCAACCGAGAGGAGGCAGGGGAGCGGACCGACCCGAGAGAGGAGGGAGGGGAGCAGGCGCCCGGCACACAGAAGAGCCGCATTAGACTGGGTAAAGAGCCGCATGTGGCTCGCGAGCCGCGGCTTGCCGACCACTGCTCTAGCCGGTCTAAAACCGATTTTGACCTAAAAGGGACGCTTTTTGGACGCCATGGACTTTTCCCAGTTTCAAGGCAGAAACAGTAAAAATGCAGGCAGGGCACAGAACAAAAATGTATGTGAAATGCTTTGAAACAGTAATGTTTTACTATGTAATTTTAGTGTATTTGGTTGTCACTTTTTAAAATTTCCCGCCGGTTCCGGCCCCCGTACGTCCTGACGCTCGCAGGGACCGAAACCCGGATGCCAGCATCGGCCAGAGGAGATGGCCAGGGACGCTGCAGGGGAGACATCGTGTGAGCGCAGGACAAGGTAAGCGAAACAGGGATCCCAGAGCAACGCTGCAGGGTAATCCCGAGTGTAGCTCGGGGTTACCGCTTTTGGCACTGATAATCAACACCGAGCTACACTCGGAAATACCGCTAGGGAGGTTAATGGCCCCACTACATATTTCATACCTACCTCAGTACACAAATTTAAATGGTTGCTATAGATTGTTGCTCTTCATGCTATTTTAATGAATAAGGGCTCTTACACATGGTCATACATAGTGTATAAAAAAGAAAAAAAAAAAAAAATAAAAAAAAAAAACACAAAAACTTATTGTAGCACCCCGGAGCCACAGCTGCAGTGTATTTTTACCCAATGAAATACATTACAGAAAGCTCCAGGAGCAGCTATACTCCACATACCCGCTAGCACTCATGTTTACACAGACATATATTTCAAAACATTAACGTTTGTATTTTGAAAAATAAGCCTAAATGGAAGTTCATGGAAACGCAGGTGCCAGCAGTTATGCACATAGCCATGTGTGGCGTTCTCTTATCAAGCAAAGGGCAGCTGTGGCGCCACAACAAGCATATTTCACTCATTATGCCCGTATGCCAAAATGTACTGCTGTGTGCAAAAGCCCCAATCCTAACAAAGATCAAATCATACTTACCCCTTTTACATGCTCAAACTTTACATTTTTAATCTGGACTGGATCTACAGATGCATCAAGGCCAGTCGTCCGGAAACGGACTGCAATATAATAAAAGATTTTGACACTAAAACTACATTAAACTTTTAAAGCAACAAAAGGAATCTATAATCTAATATTAATGAAATGTACAGAGCTAGGTTAACTGCTATCAGCACTGTGATGATTGCAGCAACAATCACACTTTTGCCTTTTTCCACATTAATAAGAACCATAGAACCAGTAAAAAAATTATTATGGTACAAAATCAGCAAAGGATGTGTTCATGAAGCTTTAGTTGAACAGACCACCTTAGCATACAGTAATTTTATAAAAATGTGTTATTTAGCTACAATTGCAGACCTTAAAGTGGTTTCAAAGGCACATTTATAAATATAAATTTTATACTTGCTCTGTGCAACAATACTGCACAAAGTCGGCCCCTTCCCTCTAATTTGGTGGTCCCGTCAGTGCTGTTCGTTCATGGGCTGTGTTCATCCACAGACGCACACAGTGCGGCTTGGCCATGCCCCCTGCTCCTTCCTCACAGGATTTGACTGACAACAGCAGTAGCCAATGGCTCCCGCTACTCTCAGTGTAGCCTGTGAATCTAGAAAGATGAAGAGTGGGGCTGCTGGTGGGACAGCACAGCATCGTGAGGGGTATCAGGTAGGGGGGGGGGATGTGGAGAATGCATTAAAATTGATAAAACACACAGACTTTAGAACCACATTAATTAGGTTAATGCACAAGAAAAAAAAAAAAATTACCTGGAAAAAATATTGTTTTGGATAAGGCGTAGATTCCGATTAATAACACAGCTAATACCATGTACCGTGTTCTCTTCAGTGTCTCTGAAAAGATCAAATGAACAGATAGGTAAGAGATACATCTAGCAGCTTTTTGTCATGAAAGCTTACCATTGTTTTAATTTAATTCACAGCTTTCTATTAACTGCTTTTACATTATATAATTTTCCACGATTTTTATTGAAGAAATATTTTTCATGATATGCAAAATTTCAATACAGTAAGTCCCCAAATTACGAACATTTGAGTTGCGAATTTTCACAGATATGAAATGGACCAAACATTACGAATATTCGTAGATGCAAACAAAGCGCCGGAAGTAGCTCACCCGTCTCCCGGACATGGTCACAGCTGGCGGATGTGTGTTTACTGTACAGTGCAATAGTGTACCATACAGAGCCCAGGATGTCCTGAAGCAAGCGGAAAAGCAGTGGTGATGTGGAGGGGACTACTAGGAAGCACAAAGCAATAACCATGGAAACAAAAGTGAAAATAATTGAGAGATTGGACAGAGGCAAAAAGATGGTAGACATCGCTAGTTCTTATACCATTAATTGTTCAACCATTGGCACAAGTCTAAAGAACAAGGCCAAGATCATGGAACATATGAAGTCTGCTGTGCCTATGAAGTCATCAATATCCAAAAAGTGTAGTAAAGCAATAGAGGAGATGGAGAAACTTCAGTGTGTGGCTGCAGGATCAGCATCAGCGTCGAGTCCCACTCAGTTTAATGCTTATTCAAGAAGCCTGTTTGAAGACTTGAAGAAAAAAAAAACGGATGAACAGTGTGCATCTTTTACTGCCAGCCATGGATGGTTTAACAGATTCAAGGCTAGAGCCAACCTTCACAACGTAAAAGTAAGTGGTGAGGCTGAAAGTGCAGACACCATAGCTGCCCAAGAATTTCCAGCAACATTTAGAGAAATTGATGAAGGTGCTTATTTACCCAAACAGGTTTTGAACGTCGATGAGACAGGACTGTACTTGAAGAGGATGCCAGAACGAAGTTACATCAGTAAAGAGGAAAACGTGATGCCAGGCTTTAAAGCAGCAAAGGACCGACTTACTCTGTTTGGTGGCAATGCTTCCGGTGATATGAAACTAAAGCCTCTCTTAAATTTACCATTCAGAGAACACAAGAGCCCTCAAAAACATAGCCAAGAGCTCTCTACATGTGTAGAAGAGAAACTCCAAAGCCTGGGTTACACAGGCCATTTTCCAGGACTGGTTTTTCCACCACTTTATCCCAGAGATAGAGAAATATTGTTTGGAGAAAGATATCCCATTCAACATTCTTTTGCTGCTTGACAATACACCAAGTCACCCCCAGCTCATGGATGACTTTCATCCCAACGTCAAAGTAGTGCATCTGCCACCAAATACTACGGCGCTCATCCAACCTATGGACCAAGCAGTTATTGCGACTTTCAAGAAACATTATTTACGTCACACTTTTCATCAGGCAGTGAAGGCTATTGATGAAACAGGAACAACCTTGTGACAATTTTGGAAGGACTATAACATCTACAGAGCCATAAAAAACCTCAACTTTGCTAGGCGTGAGGTTTTGACTGTCACTATGAATGGGGTTTGGAAGAAACTCTGCCCGCAGTTTGTTCATGAACTTGAGAAGATGGGTAAGGAGTCCAAAAAGGTCTTCAACAACTTATTGATCCTTAGGATGAAGCTGGAGCTAGATCTGCAAGAGGATGACTTCACTGAACTCCTTGTTGTGCAACATGAACAGCTTACTAATGAGGACCTAATGGAATTGGAGGCCCAGCGAAAAAAGACGAAGAGAGCCAAGAGGAAGTTGTAATTGAAGAACCAAAGAGATTCAAAACACAGGAAATGACAAGGGAATTTTCTTTACTTAAAGAGGCACTGTTAGTTTTTGAGGCATAGGACCCCATCGTAGAATGATACACAAAGGTTGCAGCAGCCATTCAGAATGCCATCCAGTGCTACAGAGTCATCTATGATGATTTCCCTGAAGAAGCGGGCATTGTCCCATTAAACGCGTTGGAAATATCAACAAAGTGCTTATTCATGGTTCTAAGTGGAAGCTATGTATCTACATGTCTATTGACACCTACAATGCGATACCATCTTTCTAGGTGTCGCAATATCAACCAAGTACCACTGATTCTAGGCTGAAGCCATGCACCATCATGTCTATTACTACTTATGATGTGACATCATTCATCTAGGTGTCAATCATTCACAGTTTAGCCTTGATGTTCTGAGCTTACAGCTGGTGGTCATTTCTAGCTGATGCCCATGACACCCTTTTGCGTCTAGGACATCAGTAGCAATTACTGTGGCTGGTTTCCATAACTGTATTTTATGATTCTCCATTATATGTTTGACGATCATGTTCCAGCTGTTGGTGGTTTTATAACCTAATAAAAAGGTGTTAAAATTTTATCAACTGTCTTCACATACTTTTGTATAATCAATGTGGATTTATATGGTTTGGTACCTTAAAATCCTCATTAGTTTTTCTTGGTTAGGGTCTTATCTAATACAATTTTCATTAGGGGTGTGGTACCAGTAAAACCCTTCTCACAAGGATATAGAGAGCTATTTTGTCTCCATCTCCCACTCCCTATATAGTGTATAAGACTCACTTTGTCGGACTTCTGAACGAATCCGATTTACGAACGTTCTCCTGGAACTGAAAACTCCTTCGTAAGTCAGGGACTTACTGTACCTGGTTTCAGTGAATCTGGGATGGAGAGCATGCGCTTTAATTTAATTTTGTAAAGAACAGAATATAAAAAAAAACAAAAAAAAACAAAAACACTAGTTGAAGAAAAATCCTGTTTGAACATGTCTTTTGAAAGTGTAATTTGAAATTAAAAATAAATAAATAAATCGGCCCCCGTGCACACATTTGATGTGGGAGACTCAGCGATAAGCTGCAGGTGGAAGTCCCATTGAAAGCAATGGGAGACCGACCGCTCATGCAGTTATTCATGGCCGCTCATATGAAACTGCATAAGCGATTACCTATGAAGTCAGGTGTACCAGCTTACCTGTGCTCTTCTGAGACACAGATTGTGATTTTGCGAATCCTTCTGAAAAACCAGTCCTAAATGCTTCCTGCTGTGCATCAAGAACATGACTTTTGACAATCTTTTCCTTGCTTTCCACATCTGGAATCCTAGACCTCCTTAAAAAACCCTAAATGGGGAAAAAGAAAAAAAACACACACCCTTTATCTGAAACTTATTTTCTACAAGCTGAAAAGTACTTTAATACTAATTTAGAATTGACATGGTTAAGTTACACTGAAGCATTTAGACATACATTCAGAAAGGACGGTGCAGAGCTTTCAGTGGCTGCAATACGCTCAGGGGTTGACTGGAGATGTTTGTCATTTGGGTGGACCGTCTTGAATCCTCGAGACTGTGTATATACTTAGATAAAAAGAAAATAAATTATTTTGGGAAAAAAAAAAAAAAGTCATAAGATAAATATAGAAACTGCCATATTAGAATATTGTATATGAATATTGATGGAAGGTTAGGTGTATCTGGCAACAATGCTTTTCTTAAACCATGTTCACATTAATGCAAACAATTTGTTTTGCACCACATTCAGTTCACATGACATGTGAAACTGCAGCCTTTTCACATTTGTGCGGCCCAGCCGCAGTACAGTTTCCAAAAGGGTCTGGTATGATTTTCAGCCCAGTTTAGGTCCGATTTCCAATTTCATACACTTGAAGAATTTGCACTGGAATCACACCTGAACCACTTAGAGAAACACAGTCAAAGCTTTTTTGGCTGTATTTCTCCTGTGGATCACAGGAGTGCAGTTTGTTCTGCACGCCTGTGACCCGGTTTCAGCAGACTGAAGTCCACTGTCAGCTGACGTCACTCAGCCGGTCCAGGTTGAGTCTGCAGGGGCACCTGGTTCAGCCTCTCAGCCAAGTGCTGAGAGCCTGAGCCAGGCGCTTCCTCCCCTCCACAGCCCAGCACTCTAGTGAGTGCTTGGGGGGCTAAGCAGACAGCGGTGACTGACAGTGGAGAGGATAACTCAGTGATCACATGATCGTGGACTTCTTACCCCTCTAGACAGTGGGGGACAGGTGCAGCATAGGAACGATGCTGCATCCACCTAGGCAAGTAGAAATGGGGGGGGAAAGGCCCTACTGCTCTTTTAACAAAGTTGCATCAGACGGGTCTGAAATTGCACATCAAAACTATGCATATATGCGAACCTGGGCTAAATACTTAAGGTGGATCACACGTGTAGCAAATAAAGGCAGAAAACTTAAAGTGTATGTTACCCTAACATTTGACATTCCTTACGTGTATGTTGTACCATCTACTTGTATTAAAAAAAAAAAAAAAAAAAAAAAAAAAAAAATGATTATGTTCTCTTTGTATTTCTTCCATTGTGTGAAATACCTGGTGATACTGCCAGTCCCCCTGCGTTCTTATTTCAAACTGACCATTCTAGCAAAGAAGTGCATCCTTTCCAGCATGGTTCATTTTATAACTGTGCTGGGAGCACAGCCTGCCTGTCCTCCAATGGCCAAGACTTGTGCTGGCACTTCCCCCTGTACAGCTCTTCACTGAGAAAATCAGAGTATTGCTCTACTCTGCCTTTTGCTGACTTGCCCCCACCCAGTCTTCAGTCAGCTACATTACTAAGATTACTACTACGGGCAGAAAGACTGTAGCTGTCATCTACATAAAAAAATAAATAGCATGCAAGATTAAGGTGGACCATACTTGGCTTAATACTGGGCATAGAAGTGACCGAATCAGGCTGTCAGCAACAATTCAGAGAGACGACATGTAATGGCCCCAATGATTGTTCTCTTTTCTCCATATGAATGGGAGCAGCCAGTCAATTTGTTGCACATGCCCTGCGCCATATTAAATCTTTTGCAGCAAATCAAAGAGGGAGGAACCTCATATACATTGTGATGACCAAGTACACTTGGTAATACAAAAAATATGTAAATACATAATGAAATGCCAGAAATGATGCTATAACAGAAGATTCAGCATTTACCTGGCCATTGCTGCAGCTCTGCACAAACTTGCTTCAGTGGGCTTAGCTGCTGCTGGTGGCGGTGAGGACGTAAAGCATTTATAGTGCTGGGATAGCCTTCAATGAAAGATATGAGTGTACATTACAAAAAAAGTCTTAATACCAACCATCTACTAATACATCCAGCTCAAAATGTCGTTATTGAAATTTTACTTAAAGGGTCACTAAAACCACATCATAAAAACTCTCATTACATTCTGTTTATACTCACTAAGTCACTATAGGATTCGTTTTCTGTGAAAAACCTGGTTGTTCCGATCTCCTCCTCCTGTCTGTGTGCCCAGTTAAGTTGGTGATTTTGCAGAGCTGTGTTGGCAGCTACTGCACATGCTCAGTTTTCAGCGAGTTTCTATGCTGAGCATTTCCTTCCCATCACATCTGAGCAGCCCATGTTAATATAGAGTCACATGTGGATGTGTACACAGTGGTAAATGACAGTCCACTTTCTCCCTCCACCTCCATGCCCGCTAACCAGCTCAAAACAATGGGCGTGTGAGGCTTCACCTCCCTGGTACACAGTCTGTGGATTTCTGCCAGTCACAGGCTCGCGCTCCTTCACACACACCCCATGGTGTTCAGGGCTGTTAGAAATCACGGGGTCCCATACAGCCAACGTGATATGGCTTCCCCCCCCAAAAAAAGAAAAAACAGTTTACTATGCTTCAGTTATGAATGGACACAGAGTGATCCGTGACGATCACTCATTGTGTTCATTCAGGAAAGGAAGGGGCTGGTAAATGTGAAAATTTTACCAGACCTTTCCCCCACTCTCCATACTGAAGGATCCTATTGTATGCTTGCAGCTGCTGGAGGAGGAAAAAAAATAAAAAAAATAACAGAGCAGCAGCAGCACTACAGGGGATGAGGCACACAGGGGGGGCGTGGTGCACAGGGAGGGTGATGGGGGAGGGGGGCCCCCCCCCCCCCCCCAATTACTGGTACCGATCCCCTGTATAGCTCTCTCTGCAGCAGCTGCAAGCCAGTGGGAGGGAGAGAAGAAGGAAGCTTTCAACTGCTGCAGAGAGCCATACAGGGGATCGGTTCCAGAGATTGCCCCACCCCCATGCCGATCACTGTTCCTGCTCACATCCACTTCACCCAGCTGCCTGGGCCCCCCCCCTTCTGGCCTGGGCCCCCCACAGGAGGACTGATCGTACTCCCTTATCCAGAGCCCTGATGGTGATGCCAAAAGCTGAACCAGCAACAAAGGACTAGAATCTCCTCTGCTTATGTTTCCCTGCAGACAGGCTGGGAAAGAGCTGGGTCATGTGATAGCTGCATATCAATTAGGAAAAAGGTACTTGAATATATTTGTTTATTAAAATAAACACATGCCATCATCCCTATACAGAAAAAGAAGTGAATTAAACTGAAGTAAATTTACATTAACTATGTAAATTAAACTGTTTGGTTTGCAAAAAAAAAAAAAAAAAAAAAAAATCTAAAAAAAAAAAAAACCTTAAATATGTAAACCCAACATTTCATATTCCAGATGTGTGCCTGTATGAAAGTATCCTGTTCGCTTTCTATTGCTTCATGTGTGTTAAATCTCTGGTGTTTCTGCCAGTCCCTCTGCCTTCCTGTTAAAAACACACACACTGGTCAGTTCTCTAGCTGTGCTGCTCTCCTCCAATCAGAGTTGTCCTGACACACTAACCTCTGCACAGACTTTCACTTGGAAGATTAGTGTCCTGCTGTTTCTCCTCCCTTAGCTCTTATGCAGCTGAGAACAAAGGGTATAGTGAAAGAAATAAGTATTTGATCCCCTGCTGATTTTAAATGTTTGCCCACTCACAAAAAAAAAGATCAATCTAAAAAATTGAATGGTGGGTGTATTGTAACACAGACAGACATGCATTTCTTTTGATTTTTTTAGTTGCTATTCTAATAAATTATGCACTGATTTGCATGTTCATGAGGGAAATAAGTATTTGATCCCCTATCATTCAGCAGGATTTCTGGCTACCAGGTGTCTTTCATACAGAGATTAGAAGCAGTCTCTTAAAGGGAGTGCTGCTAATCTCATTTTGTTACCTGTATAAAAGACACCTGTCCACAGGAGCAAACAATCAGATTCCAAACTCTCCACCATGGCAAAGACCAAAGAGCTGTCCAAGGATGTCAGGGACAAGATTGTAGACCTACACAAGGCTGGACTGGGCTACCAAACTATCGCCAAGCAGCTTGGTGAGAAGGTGACAACAGTTGGTGCAATCATTCACAAATGGAAGAAACACAAAACAACTGTCAGTCTCCCTAGGTCTGGTGCACCATGCAAGATCTCATCTCGTGGAGTGTCAAAGATCATGAGAACAGTGAGGAATCATCCTGGAACTACACGTGAGAATCTTGTCAATGATCTCCAGGCAGCTGGGACCACAGTCACCAAGAAAACAATTGGTAACACTACGCCGACCAGGATTGAAATCCTGCCGTGCCCGCAAGGTCCCTCTGCCCATGGAAGCACATGTCCAGGCCCATCTGAAGTTTGCCACTGAACATCTGAATGATGCAGAGAAGGACTGGTTGAAAGTATTGTGGTCAGATGAGACCAAAATCGAGCTCTTTGGCATCAACTCAACTCGCCATGTTTGAAGGAGGGGGAGGAGGAATGCTGCCTATGACCTCAAGAACACCATCCCAACTGTCAAACAAGGTGGTGGAAACATTCTGCTTTGGGGGTGTTTTTCTGCTAAGGGGACAGGACAACTGCACCGCATGAAAAGGGACGATGGACAGGGCAATATACCGTCAAATCTTGGGTGAGAACCTTCTTCCCTCAGCCAGGGACCAATGGGTCATGGATGGGTGTTCCAGCATGACAATGACCCAAACACACAGAGTGGCTCAAGAAGAAGGCCTAGCCAATCTCCGGACCTTAACCCGACTGAAAATCTGTGGAGGGAGCTGAAAGTTTGAGTTGCCAAACGTCAGCCACCAAACCTTAATGACTTGGAGAGGATCTACCAAGAGGAGTGGGCCAAAATCCCTCCTGAGATGTGTGCAAACCTGGTGGCCAACTACAGGAAACGTCTGACCTCTGATTGCCAAGAAGGGATTTGCCACCAAGTACTAAGTCATGTTTTGTGAAGGGGATCAAATACTTATTTCCCTCATGAACATGCAAATTAGTGCATAATTAGTTAGACTTGCATTTCTTTTGAATTTTTTGTTGCTATTCTGTCTGTGTTACAATACACCTACCATTCGATTTTTAGACTGATTATTTCTTTGTGAGTGGGGAAACATTCAAAATCAGCAGGAGATCAAATACTTATTTCCTTCACTGATTATAATCAGTAAAAAAAAAAAAAAAAAAAAAAAAAAAAAAAAGTGTATAAAAAATTTTTTATAGCTACACAAATTTTGTCTTTCATTTCTATTTTAAACTGAACGGGTTCTTTTCAAGGTGAAGGTTTACATTCACTTTAAATTAGGAAAAGCAGAAATAATACAAACTAACATTGCTGAATGTATTTTATCTTTAAATGGTTATATTTTTGATACGACAAGGACCCATTTACACCAGGTAGGATTTCACAAGACTGCCATTCAGATCATCAAGGCCATTCCTGAATTAAGGTGCACGCTAAAAATTTTCAGCATTCTGAAGTTTAAGTATTATGACCTGCAGTTTCCATCAAACTGATTTCCAAAACATCGGAGAACTCATGTCACGGGATGTAAAAGTGCATCAATTTTGAATAAGCCCCGATCCTCATTCCACCTACCATTTTTATTTTCAAAGAAAGACTGTGCAGATATATGGGATGTGTGCCAGTGTGATGAGGGTTTCTTTTCATCAACAAAGAAGCCAGGAAGAAGTCTTGTGAAGATCTTATCAAGCTGCGCAGTTCGTAGCTCAGATAAACCCAAGTCCCGCAGGTTGAACACGGGCTGAAAGAAAAGCACATGTAAAGATTTTTCTTCCATATCATAAAATACTTTGGGGAAAAAAAAAAAAAAAAACACCACACAAAAAAAAAAACACACAAACACACAAACAAACACAAACACAGTGCAAATATTTCATCCCGATGACCAAAACAGACTGGGGAAATCAAAACAGCCCCAGTGAGAGATTTCTGGCGGCAGTTCCTTTCAGAACTACCTGCCCCTAATTCAGACAAACATTTATGATAGACATGTGTGACAAATTCAGACTGTTCTCACTACTACCACTTTTAAGACATCATTGCTATGGCAGCAACAAATTCTAAGGCTCCATGTACACTGCAGCTGATAAACTGACGTTCAGGAGATTTTCTACGTTTTTTTTCAGCAGCCCCTGAACTCCCTAATGTTTTCCTATGTGTCCATGTACACATTGTCATTTACAGTCGTTTGAACGCATCAAACTTGCGTTTAGGAGTAGATTTTATTAGCGTTTGGAATTTTTTTTTAACTCTTCCATTTCCAGATGCTGTCCAGAGCCTTTTATCATCATGAAAAAAGGCATGCAAAGCATTTTCCCGGTACTCAAATGGACCTGGTACACCATACTTTGAGGTTTTGCATGAAAGAAAATGTTAGACACTGCTGCAATAATTTCTGCACAGAAATGAGCTGGAACACATCCAAACACCACTGTAACGGACGACATACTTGGCTATTTGCTCCCCCCCTTCTTTTTTCTTTTCTATCTTTTATTTTGGCAAAACGTGAAGATGGTAACACAGGAAGATGAGTTAATACGCTGGTTCCTGAGACAATCCGATGAGACTTTGATTGACCTTTGTGATCTAAAGGACATCAATACAGTTGGCAAGACGAGATGCCAGCTCCTAGGTGCTCTGATAGAGATGGAGTTAGAACAGCGCACCATGTTGGTGGAACACTGCAACTGTGCCACTCCAGATGACTGCATGAATCGGTGTGACTCTGTTCTCAAACCCGCTCGGTACAAGAGATCAGCACGCAGAGAGAACCATGATGTGGGAACAAACCTACAGCTTTTAGGAGGAGGTGATGACCCAGAGGTGCAGTTTCAGCTCATTTCCGCGTTACTACAAATTGAGAGAAGGTACCAACAGCGGATTGAGCAAATTGAGAGAAGGCGCAAACCCAAGATGGTCCAAGTCCAGCAGGGTAATGCATTGTTACCTCCATCTGCATCAAGAACTACAAGGGCCAGACCAACATTTGTGGAGACCTGGAAGTGTGTTACCTGTAACCAAGTGGGACATTATGCACGGCCCTGTCCAAACGTGAGGATATCTAGCCCACCAGCAAAAGTGGAAAATGTACCCCCTACTGTGTTTCTTGTTGGAGAAAACGGAGGAGGCCGAGCGAATAACCAGCCACCATTTACTACAAGTAACAGCGTTACAGTTGGACTACAAGGTACGGGATCAGAGAATGTCCTAGCTCATCCAGAATTGAGGAGCTGTGAGGATGTGATCCCAGTGGAAGCCATGGCTGGCACAGGGGTTGGAGGAGCCATCCCTGCAGTGCCTATGGCTTGTGTTTCTTTGAGCCAGGAGTCTGGAAGTCAAGTGGAAGAAGTGGGCAGAGCAGATCCCACTAATGAAGGAGGCCATGTGGAGAGCCTGCAGCCAGTCACTGCAGGCAACAATGTTTCAGCTGGACTCCAAGATAAGGGACCCGAGGATATCCTAGCCCTTCCCGGATGGAAGAGTCGTGAGGATGTGGTCCCAAAGAAAGCTACAGTTATCATAGGGGTTGGAGGAGTCACCCCTGTACTACCTGCAGCTTGTGTTGCTTTGCCCCAAGGATCCAGAAGCAAAGTGAGAGAAGTGGGCGTAGCAGCTACCACGAACATACTGTCAGGTACTGACCTGGGGCGGTTGGTAACCCAGAACAGGTCTAAGTCGACACCCCTGAAGTCTACATTTACACCAGAGGCCTCGGATTCACGTAATGTACCGTTGAGTGACTCAATGCACACTGGGAATTCTGGGGAGGGTCAGGGTGTGAAGGACTGTGTACCAGGGCCTGGCTCTAGTGGATGTCTGGAGTCAAGGCCTGGAGAAGAGTTTAAAATCACAGAGGACTCTGCAACTGATGTTTTATGTGATGATGAATGTAATGACATGTGCAAGGCAGACCTTCCCTCTGGTGCAGTGGTGACTCGGGGTGCCCACCAGGTGGTCCCGGACCAGTCATTGCCCACTGCTACAGAGGGACTGTCTGTGGAAGGGCCCAATCTAGCTGGGTTGGACCCTTGTGAACCTGGCCCAGAGGGCCTAAGGTCTCCTCAGACTGTTGTCTACCTGGCACCTGTGGCAGATAGCTCTGAGTCCCCTGGAGCTGTGAGAATTGATGGCAGCCCAGAGGATCTCAGGGGTCTGGCTGAAGGACCGCCAGCGGTGGATAGCAGGATGGGGGTGCATGGGCAAGAGGAATTTGGTTGTTTAGCCCTATGTAAAGCAACAGGAGGTTCTTCTGAAGTCCCCGGGGAAAAGGCACATTGGGTTTCAGTAGACCAGTGTTGTGTGCCCCTCGCCCCTTGTGGGATGAAGTTCTCTGTTGTCTGCTCCCCTGACACCACAGATACCAGTAATGCCATTTTGGGTCCTGGGCTGTGGAGCACAGAGGAGGGACCACAGGGTGAGGGTTTAAGTCTGATTCATTCTGACTCTACCCCCTCAGTAGCTGTGGTTTCCAGAGGCTGTTACATCTGATGCCAGCCCAGAGGAACTCATGGGTGCTGACAGACGCTCTGCTGAGGACGGGGTAGAAGTGAGTGACGTGGGTCAGAGGATAACCCCTAGTGGAATTTTTCCTCCTGTAACCTTCCCCTCTGTCACCACAGTCATGGGTGCTGCCAGTGCAGACTCATTTCTGTGTGTTGCAGAGGGAAGTCTGCAGGATGTTGAGGCAAATTCAGCCCAATCAGTGTCTTCCAGCTGACATCACTGAGTCCTTCCAGGCTGATAGGTTTGAGGTTGGCCCGAAGGAGCTCAGGGGTGGTGCTGACAGATGTTCTGCTGAGGAGGACAGAGTAGAAGGGTGTGGCACGAGTCAGAGGATGACCCCTGGTGGAGTAAAGTCTGTGGATTTATCCTTTGTCCCCACAGCTATGAGTATCATGATTGAGGACTCATTGCTGTGCCCAGCAAGGGAAGGATCACAGGATGACGGGGGAACACTGACCCCCTCTGAATCTGCTTTCTCAGAGGCTGGAGCTGACAACCCTGTATTCTTGCTGGCTAATAGGTTTGATGTCAGCCCGGAGGAACTCAGGGGTTGTGCTGACCAGTCTCTGGCTGAGGCAGAAAGAGCAGAAGTGTGGGAGACAGGTCCAAGGGTGGAGGTTCTGGTATCCAAGCCATGGAACCAGGTCCAGATCACCCAGGAACAACCTTATGTCAGGCTCAGGTATCTGGGTGTTACAGCCAATGGCGAACCACCAGATGACCCTGGCCAGTGGCTGAAAATGTTGACAGCGCACAATGACAGGTTTGCCAGTACCCGTCCAGTCGATAGTCGGTGACCAGCAGATGAAACGGATCCGCGGGGGGATCTGCTGGCCAGTGGTGACCCAAGCCCTTTGGGATCAGTCAGAGAGCTGGGCAGACGCCCTTCCCCATCAGCAGGGGGATGGGCTGAGCTGTCAGCGGTGTCAAACTTTAGTTGGGAGAACTTCCCCCCCCCCCCCCCCCCCCCCCAACCTTGGGAACCTTCTATGTAGACGCGTTAGCCGACCCGTTTAGGCTCAGCTATGCGTCATCTGGAAGAGGGGAGATGTAACGGACATGTAAAAATTTATTGTAACGGACATGTAAGATTTGAGTGGAAATATGGTATCATAGCCATGACAGGTTGAGTAGATTAGATTATGTCAGGCCCTTTCATTGCAAAGGTGTGTGCAGGAACAGTCTGGTCATTAAGGATGTACATTGAGCCCCTGGGCAGTAGGGAAATGAATAGAAGGTACAAACAATTGATCTGGGATACAGATGTGTATGTATACACAATTACTCCATAGGCCTTACAGACCCAATCATCATTTAGCATTAATTAGTCTAAAGCCAGGTTCCTGGATGTGACAACTTTTGTGTGTCAATCAGGTTATCACCTTCTGAGGAAAACCAGTGACAGCAGACAGACTGTCTGCCTTTTGTGGAAAGCTCTATAAGTAATATTCACATCAAAGAAGTATGTTTAATCTCTTATAAAAGCCAAAATATTAGTTGCAGAGATATGAACAAGCTTCCTTTGTGCAGGCCATTCTGTGCGCTACATTTACATATAAGAATCATATTTGTGGCTTGGGGAGGAAGCCAGGGAAATGCATGGAATGATTAGATGACGCGGGGGGGGTGCGACAGTCGGATGATGTTTGGTACTGTTGCGATCGGGCTGATGCGCTGGTGTCAGAAATCCAATCCCCGACTTGGTGTTCAGGCCAGTCTCGGCCCAATTGAACTTGGGCAGGTCCATACACAGTACCTCTTGTGGGCAGGTCAGGACCACCTCCCCCAGAGTCAATTGGCCGAAGACTAATATCCCGCCCATGTCCAAATCGCAATAAATTGAACGCATGGACATTTGGACAGTGTGATTCGTACGGAGCTGGTTCGATTGACTAGCGGATTGCCAAGTTTCTGGCTTGCTCCAGCCGCAGGGTAAAGTGTTATTCTGTCTTTTTATTCCCTTTTATTTTATAGTAATTAGTCATTTGTGTGTCTTATATCTTTTGTATTTTATGTAACTTGTTATATTTTGTACATATTTTATGCACTGCCCACTTAGGGAAATTAAATCTTAAAATTAATTAGTGAACTTCTGTATACTTAAGCACGTGCTCATATCTTCAGAGAGACTAGATCGGTGAGACTAGATTGGGTTATATTGGATTGTATTTTAGTGCCTTTAAAACGCTCGGTTAAGCTCATTGCCAATCTGTATGCAACTGCACTGTGAGTGGGCAG